AGAAGTGATTGGTGGTTGCGAGAGTGTTTTCTTTTCCTGATGACGACTCAGGATTTTTGCAATTGATTGATATGTGGATTGACATGCACCCTTCGATTGGGCTCCAGCCTCCCGTATCTCCCGCCTCAACATAGCCTTTTCCTTACAACGAGGAAAGGACACGTGTATGCGAGTGGGACATACGAGAAGCCGTCGCTTAAATCGGCTGACGATACTACTTCCCTCCGACCAACCGTTGTTCAGGGTTCGTAGAGGCTGGGTTTGTCATTATCGATACGCACTTTCCACCTCACTCGATATTGTTGCCATTTAACGAGTTGATCGTCATCCCGTGGATGGCAGTAGAACCCCATTGGCCGCACACCCTATGCACCGAATGCCAGCACTTTAAGCGCTACGAATCCAGGGGTTTCCACTACCGTGTGCGGAGTGAGGACGAACATAGAGAAAGAGCCACGCGATTAAGACCCTCCGTCGGATTCAGAACTGGTCAGTGAACGACGACGGGACTTGATACGAAAGCGAGACACGCGAAGCGTGCCGAAGCCCTTCTGTTCCAAACGACGGGCTGTAGCCAGGTGGGAAGTCCGACAATATTTCCTGGATTGAATTTGTATTTCTCACTCCTCTAGCGCCAAACTTCCGCGCGCGCAATTAACGCCGCGTGAAAAACGATCGACTTACTTCGTCGGACCAACACGGGGGATTTCAGTTCCGTCTGTGTCCCCACACTCAATTTCCAAAAATCCTTGGCACACCCCATGTGGGCCTCTGTCCGCACATCTAGCACTCCGAACGAAAGATAGCACAGGGCATGAGGTTGCGCGTCACAGCCGTGTATCAAAACAAATTCCAAAGCTCATGTGCACTTGCAAAGGTGCAGAAGGACACACTTTTCTTTCATTTTGTTGTCGTTGAAACATCCCTTAAGGATGCTAGCGGTGCTGATAAGAGCAGGCACCACTACCATCCTAATGGGAGGCGCCATCCATTGGTGGGGAGCATCATCTGCTGGAAAGTGGGTCCAGCATCCCTTATACAGAAATTCGAATCCTGAGAATGTCTGAGAGAATGTCTGAGGTGAATTGAACTGCATCCTGCCAGCATTGATTGCCCTGGATCCCCAGGGGATTAACTGAGCAGGCGTACTGGGAGGAAGTGGAGAAGCCTCTTCAGCCCGGTGCCTGGGCGCCAGACAAACTGTGATTAGCTAACTCTCCTCCCCCCTCCTCCCCCTCTCCTCCGGCTCCGTATCCTTATCCTTTAAGAGAGAAAAGAGATGCCGCTGTTAAGACTGACAACCCCCTCGCCGGGCAACCAGGGGGGTCACTAATGACTCACTATGACAGACACTGGACCCTTAAATGGTGGACTTCCTTTGAAGAAGCGAAAATAGGAGAAGGTCTCCTTAGCTTACCCAGCTCACGAAATGGAGACATTGGAGAGGAAGGAAGGGCATCTCATCAACTTGCGAAAAAGGGGCGAAAAACCCGACAACTTGGAAGTGACTACTTTACAAACCCAGCCAGAAACAAAAAGAGAGAAGGGGCGAAAAACCGGATCAGCATAGCCCTGGCGCAAGGATGACACACAGATAAGTCAAAAAAGAAGGGGCAAAAAACTAACGCCTCCCCCTTATGGAGAAGATAGTTACAAGCTGGGCGGGCGCACCTGCTGGGAAATGGTTCCAGCATCCCTTATATAAAATAATGGTCCTCACTGCACTACTCTAGACTCTCGAAGTTTTGAGAGTGGGTCATTGCTGCACTTACTCTCGATCCGGAAACTCTCGAAACCTGATCGAGAGCTGTCAGAAGCCACACTATAACACAACTCTCGAAACGTCGAGAGTCCCCCGCCTGCACAAACTGAATTTGCTAGTGTCCTCGGGAGTTGGCCGCCGACGGGCTCGTTTTTCGAGAGTGGACCTCCTGTCCCGGCGGCCAGACTTTGTCTCGTAGCGCAGTGGTGAAGCTCTTCTGTAGAGTAGGATGACGCCCAGGGTTTCGAGAGTTCACCTAGTGTAATAGGTTATAGAGTAAGTGCAGGGAAGGCGGGTATTTCGAGAGTCTCACCTCTCTGACAACGATAGCAGAACTCTCGAAATATTTCGAGAGTCTAGAATAGTGCAGCGAGGCCCAATAATAGGGGTAATTACCTGCAGTCAGGGAAACAGTTTGAAAATGGACTTCCAGCAATCCCCCGAACATAACACACCCCCACGTGACCCTACGGGACCCGAAACCCACATTTTCAGGCAAAAGCCGTTTGCTTGAAGTGCATTTTTCAAACTCAGATCCTGACTCCGCCCTAGTTTTTTCTCATAAATTAAATACTATCTGCAAAAGAAGGGGTTCATCTTCCCATCTGTTTGATGAACTCGGAATGGTCACACGGATCACTACAACTATCCCCAACTTTTGCGTAACTGCTACTTCGAGTTGCAAATGGATTAAAGCCCCTGCCTTCCCGACTATCCTGATAACATAAACCCCTTTGCAAGACCCAGCACCCTGATTAATACCGTTCTAGTAGAGAGACCCAGCACCGCCGAGATTACACCCCAACTCGCACTAGCATTGGCTGCAGACACCGTGTCCCTGCGAAGACTCACACAGAGTCACCGATCAGAAGCAGCCAACTCATCAGGCTTCTGTAGACTTCTCCTTTCTGTCAAAAACGAACCAACCAATCAACGACAAACTACTCTATTCATTGAATTAGTGATTGAAAAAAATCGACGAATCATAACATCCTACTGAATTCATTTCTACTACTACCACCTGACCCGAACATAAACTCACCTTCGTCGGGACTGAATCGGATGAAAAAGTTGGCCTGTATTCGTTCATGATCAGGGTGCGTTGTGTTCGAGGGCAGATGGTAGCAGCTTGATGAAGAGCTCGTCCATCCACGCAACGGACCCGGGATTATGCATGCATCTCCCCAAATCAAGCCAAGTTCATTGACTGAAGGAATAACGATTGCAGGCCGTTTGCACGTGCGCAGTCCCCTTCTCCTTTCGCCTCCTCAGCAGAGACGGACGTGCCCGTAAAGGTCTGCATACGTGCCAGAATCAGCTAGACACAAACAAGGCCCGCTCGAAGAGAGTTAATTAATCAAAGGGGGAATCAACCTCAACCCCGCCGAATACGACCATCCGATTCAGAAGAAGAAGGAAGAGCGAGGGTAAGATTGCAACTCCTCACCGGAAGCCGCAATCATCCACCAACGGGGGTCCGCGCTCCAGCTCAGAGGAGAGAGATGATCGAGCTCCTCTCCTCCTCTTCCTTCCTCCCTCCTCCTCGATTGCTTCCGAGTCCCGACAATGTCGGCTCTCACCATTGGCAACCGCTGCATGCATCTGGCCGTGAAAACGGGTCAAGTGCGGGCAATTATGATTCATGAATGAAGCTTGAATCTGTAGGCTCTTCCACCTCAGGGGAGCATCCTCGAGAACCTCCACCATCCCCGTAGCTGCATGATGCCCCCGGGTACAGCCAAGAGACTCGAGAGTCACCATAGCTCTGCTCGAGATCGCAGGAAACTGCATCCAACGGCTCAGACCACCACCTCCTCCTCCAACCCTCACTACGCCAGCCCGTGCCCGCCGGCGGCTGCAGTATGGAGCGGTCGTTTCCGGAGCGAGCCCCATGACGTCAGCCAGTTTTTATCTCCTTCAGATAAAGGCCCTCGCTCCACCACTCACCAAATGAGCAANTTTTTTTTTTTTTTTTTTGGTCAACATCCTAATCGCACTCTCAATTGAAGACCGCCACGTGGCATGATATCATACCAGTACTGAACGTCGTGAACGGAGCCAAACTTCCTAAAAGCACACACAGTGTCACACACCGTTCTAGACGACCTTCTTCCCCCGAACAGATCGTGAGGTCATTTTCGCCGTTCCTGGACAGAAAAGTGAGCCAAATACGGCTATAATGACCGTGCGTTCTATTTGGGGGGAAAGACTGATGCATGGCAGTCGTTCAACTCTTTCAACTGTCAACAACAAAGAATCCCTATCGTCCCCCACTCTCCTTTTTTTTTTTTTCTTTTTTTTTTTGAGGATCGATTCCTGTTTGCTTAAACGCCTTCCTCACACACACAAGGGGTGTGAGAGATGTCTTACACTTACTCCATCGCCTGTCTTTTCCATTTACCGAAAATCCAAAATCACGACTGCAATGACCAACCCTACAACCCTACACCCACAGAGCCCGTGAATTCATCAAGGACACCTCCTCGCTCCTGCAGAAAGTCTACTACAGTGTGAGGCGGCAGAAAACTGTGGCCACGAATCTACCAAGTATCCCATGATGATCGCTTTCGGTGTGATAGTCTTTGTGCTCCAAGTTGTGCCAGTTCGAGTGTCGCTGGCTATCGAGTGCCGAAGCAGCGATGGCGGCATCAGAGATGGATCTGTAGATTTCGAAGCGACGAGGTTGTCGTAGGTGTGATGAAGGCTGTAGTTCTGGTGTATTCGAGGCCAAAGTTTTCTGCCGGGGATAACTGGTAGAAAGAGCCCAGGCCGAAACCTTTTCCGTTTTGGCCGCCCAAAGTTACGCCGTCTTTTTTTTTTTTTTTTTTTTGGGTACTACTGGCCCAGATGTCTTCAGCCTGGGTGAAAGGCGCCTTCTTGCCGTGGCCACAGCTCCGTTGGCCTGGATTTACCGGTTGATGAATTTGCTCTGGTTTTGCGCCACATTCATGAACCTGTAGGGCCCTTCTTTTTCAAAATCTGGTACCTGGGCCTCATTCTATCCTTCAGCGGTACCACCCTCGGCCTCTTTTACATCAAAATGAATCTGGCGCTGTTTATGCGCCAGATTCATGATCCGGTAGGGCCCTTGGAGCGAAGCGTGGGCCTGTAGTACCCCAGATGGAAGACATTGGGCCGGTAGTACCAAACGGCGGAAATTTGGGCGGCCAAAACCGAAAAGGTTTTGGCGTGGGCGCCTTCTGCCGATTTTCCCGATCATGGATCTCTCACTTGCTATTCTTCTTGGGCCGCAGCTGGTTGCTGTGGCCACACTTCTTCTTCCGACAGTTCACCTCTCGCGGATGCAGCCTCGCATAGCACTTGCAGCAAATCATCTTCTCCTATTGTACTTCCTCGCAAGAGCCATCAGCGAAGGCCCGATGATTCCTCCACGAAGTCTCAGCACAAGATGTAGGGTGGACTCCTTCTGGATGTTATAATCTGCGAGGTTCCTGCCATCTCCAAGCTGCTTCCGCTGATCCGGAGGAATCCCTTCCTTGTCCTGAATCTTCGTCTTCACATTGTCGATGGTATTGCTACTCTCGACTTCCAACGTTATGGTCTTGCCCGTCAGGGTCTTCACAAAGATCTGCATTTTTACTTAACCAGTTTCGTTTCTGGGCCGAGTTTGAAGGGAACGGAACTCCCCCCGCCTTCACGCCGAACGCCGCTGAGAAAGAGCTCCTCCTTTTTTTTTTTGTTTGGCTTTCGAACACAAAAACATCCCTCCGTACCCCGGACCCAGCTCTTCTGTTCTCGCAGTGCATCAACGCCAACCGGCTGAATCTGCCCCAAAATAAGGCCAGATTCAGCCCAAAAATATCCCTCTGGATCCTGCAGTTATACCAAAAAAAACCGTTTCTACACACACTTCTGTTGCTGTGCATCAGGTCGAGTCGTACTCTTATTTGTCGTACTCATGGCACGATTCCCACTGGGTGTATCTGCCAAAAAATAAGGACAGATTCACCCCAAAAGGTCAGACCGTCAGAGTGTGTCAGTCGTCTCACGGTTGTCAGCAACCACCAGACCAGCTAGACAAAACGGGAAAAAAAACATAAAAAGACAAAACCAAGAATCAACAATTTCTTCCAAAGTTCAGAAACAGACAAATTCCAAAAAAAAAGAAAAAAAAAAAAAGAAAAAAAGAAAACAGAACAACAACAACAACAACCCAAAAAAAAACAAACTAAGAGGCCAAGCGATTGGGATTAAAAAAAAAAAAAAGAAAAAAAAAAAGGAAGCAACCAAGAAGTTAACAGGCGTGTACTCGTAATATGCTCGAAAACGCGCACGCAGGTTCCTCTAGTACATGTTCAGCCGTGTGCGCTCCGACGAGACCGGTCTCATCAGGAGGGTAACTGCTTGCCCTCTGCGGCTGTGCCTTACGGCCCACCACTGATACTTGCCACCCTACTGGAGTAGCTCCTACAGAAGCTCAGGTCAGGGTCTGACAAAACTGCCCTTTTTTTTTCTTTTTTTTTTTTGGCAGGCAAGGGCATGGCCTCCTCCTGCTGATGATCGGCTATTTTTTAGGAGATACTCACACTGGGACTATATACTTTTCAAGTTACATGTGGACGTAATTGCGGTCACGTGCATCCATGACAGAAGCTGGGAAAAGCGGTCAAAATGCATCCAGGACAGTCCTCGGCTCAAACCTATGAGAATGCCCTAAGACTGGTACTACTCCGATAACCGAAGCAAGAGAGACACCCTCTCTTCGGGCACCTGCACTCCTTGTTGGGATATCCACACCTTCGACAATAAATATTACACGTGCATTTTTTATTGCCGCAGATGGGGCACCTCTTAGGATGATAATGTATCGTTTCATATGCTTCTTCCATGGTAACGTGACACGTGGATGGTTATAATTAGCTCGTGACACGTGGATGGCTATAACTAGCTCGTGAAACGTCGATGGCTATAACTAGCTCATGAAACGTCGATGGCTGTAATTAGCTCGTGACACGTGGATGACAATCTATCTGTCTATAATTAGCTCGTGACATGTGGATGGCTTATCATGGCTATAATTAGCTCGTGACACGTGGATGGCTATAA